TCATTATCAACACAAGCACTTCCATTGTAAGTATTTTTATTGATTGTTGAAATCAATTTTTTCCTTCCGATGTCTTGTCTTTATATTCTCTGTTGTAGATAAAATATGGCCACCTCGAATCGTCAGGTAATACGCATTCAACGAGAATTAACAGCACTCGAACAGAATCCATTAAATTTTATTCAAAATTTAGTATTATCGGTTAATGAAGAAGGTCTTCAACAAATCACTGGTGTAATGCTAGGCCCAGAGAATAGTCCATATGCGGGTGGTTACTTTCGTTTTGTAATGACGTTTCCCGCTGCATATCCATTTAAATCACCTAGCTTTGCATTCGCCACGGCCATCTGTCACCCAAACGTTCATTCAGGCACCGGTCAAACTTCAGATGATATACTTTTTACTATGTGGGCTCCCAGAATAACAGTCAGCCAGGTGCTTGAATCGATACATTCGCTATTATCTAATCCAAATTATGATACACCTATTGAAGCAGAAACGATGCTGGACAAGAGTCCTGAAAAGGCTCGCGAGTGGACTCTAGCTTTTGCTCAAGGTCCATGATTGACAGAATTAAGATTTGCCTTTTATTTTATAGTCAAGATCAGTCATCCTCTTGCTGATTGTGTTCTTAATACTCTCGCTCTTTTTCAATTTTTTCATTGTTTTTTCTATCATTATATAAAATGTCTTATGCGACATATCGTCGTGCAATTGTGTTCTCATTCTCATTGTGTGTCTATTTCAACAAGAGAGAAGCTGGGTGGAGTGGAGAGAGCTCAGCTCTCACTAGACCAAAATCCTGGTTCTGTCACTGTAATAAACATGACGGCTCTCGTACGTAGACTGGACACACTGACTGTGAAAAAAAAACATGTTTCTCCTGTAGATTGATTTGGATTACTGTTGACCGATTTGATGCGTTTCATATCTTCTATAGGAAATACATGGAAACGGTCAGTTTTTGGCAGCATTTCACATCATTCTTATCAGAAGCATGAAATGCGTTAAATCGGCCAGCATCAACACGTTTTGCACATCCGAAAATAAATGATGCGGAACACTGCGATCAATACATTGTTTCGCAACGTTTGTTCTAGTAACTGTAAAACACTTTTTTCTCAACAGTATTTCATGTCTTTTTGTCTCGTGCTGCGAAACGCGTTTTGTTTCGGAATAAAAAATTAAAATAATTGAACCCGTCAAATGAAACTAACCATCAAGTTAGCATTGAACCTTTTCATTATCATACCACAACAATTGTTCAGAAGAGAATATAAAGTATGCGAAAATGAGGTTTCGAACAAGTAAATAGAAACATTACAAAGCAAGCACATTAAATATGCTCAGTATTGCACAAAAAAAAATGAAATAAAAATTGACTCTTCTTGATTGTTCATTCAATTCGCATTTAGAGATAAAATTATATAACAGATCTAATCAAGTCTGTTCTGTGTGACAACTTCATTGGATGGTTTTTTTTGTATCTTCAAAATACAAGTCGTTCTCAGATCTAATCAATATCTAGATGGAATAGGTTTCTGTCCAATATGCCTAAATAATTAAGGTGGGATGTGGATATGTATCATCAAAAGAGAACCATGGTAAGTTTCGACCTATCTCAAGGGTCTCATCAAGTAGTTTTCGCTCTGGCTTGTCTTAAAGGCTAAACTTGAAAGAAATTTTATCAAAGAAGAAACCTTCTAAGATCTAAACCATTAAGCTCGAAGCAAGCAGAGGAGGTTTGAGTGTGGGTTTGTGCCTTCTGGCTAGTAATATCTACATTCACCCAGACTGTCCGAATGAATGAGTGATGAAACAACCGAAAAATTCATTGATATCAGTGTTTTGTATGAATTTCATTGTTTTGAAATTATGAATAATGCTAAAATGAATTTTTATTATATTGAAAATCTATAATTGATAATATTTTATTTAGAAAGTTTTCTGATTGATATGGAAGTGCATATTGTCTTCATTCAGGCACTCAATCATATTTCATGATTATTCTCATAGTATGAGTTGTAAAACAGATCATCAAACTAGTAGTAAGAGAAAGTATTGCTTTAATTAGAGATTATTGAACATCGACGACGGCGAAAAGTAAATAACAGGTGGAATAAAAGTTCTGCATTAATTTTGTTTTTGATGTAGTGCTGTGATAGAATCTCGTAGAGATTTCATCTTTTTTTTTGTTAGAAAGAGTAAAGTGTCTAGTGCAAAAATATACAAATGAAGATCATTGAAAATGTTTGATAGAGACTACAGAAACTTTAGACCAGTAAGCATTGAAAAACGATTCCGTAACTTTGATGAGAATATTTTAATCTGAAAATATTTGTTTGAGCTTTTTCTTCATCATTATGCGGTGTTTTTGAGAATCGTTTGTATATAGTTGTTTATTACAAAGAACGCTTTCATGTAGTATTAAAATAATTGGTCTAATCTACAAGAGAATAAACAGAAGAGAATATCATTAAAAAATTTTAATTTGCAGATTTATGATTTCCAATACGAAAACAAATGTTTGATTGAATATCACATAGAAAATCTGTGTCCTATTTCGAATAATATCGTGCGATAGAGAACTTATCAAGCTTTGATTTTCATATGAAATATATAATTTCTGACAATCTCTCTATCTGAATAGAATATATTTTTCCGACTGTGATCGAGAGTGGTGAAAAATGCAGACATTAGATAATATTATTAAAGAGTTCGTTTCAATCGTTATAAAAATACAAAGGGCTTCTTTTTTGTGCTACAATACTTCAATACCGGTACCTTGTAAAACTCAGATTAGAAGAGTAAACATAAAGGCGGTCAGATTATATGGCATCTTTTTCAAGTTCAAAAAAAATGTTGCGGAATCATTTTTCAATGCTTTCTGTTCTAAAGTTTCTGTAGTCTCTATCAAACATTTTCAATGAAATTCATTGGTATATATTTGCACCCACACCTACACCCATACCCTATCTCGGTCTAGTTCCTAGTATGGTATTACTTACATACCTTCCATTCTTCTCTTACCTCATTCATATGTACCATTTTTTATCGTATCATCCTTGCTCTTGTTCTTATTTCAATGTCATCTTTCTTGTTCTCATTTCAATGTTCATACCTCTTAGATGTTCTTTTTTCTCTCTCCTTGGACGATAGTATACAAAGAGCGATAAAATGAAGGGGGAAACAGCTGATTTTTTTTGATTTAAATCAAAAAAATCAAAACAATCAACAAAACTCAAAAAAATCTTTAATCTCTGTTGTTCAAAACATCAAAAAAGGTGCAGCAGCTGAAATCAGATTTTATTGGTTTCCGTGATGTTTTTGGTTTTTTTGATTTTGTTGGTTTTTTGCTTGATTTTTCTGACTTCTGTTTTGATTTTTTTGTTTTCTTTTCTGATTTTTTTGATTTAAAATCAATTGATTTAAACCAAAAAAATCAAAAAAAAATCAAAAAAATCAAAAAAATCAGAAAAATCTGATTTCAGCTGTTTTCCTCTTGCCGTCGCCCCCTCCGGCAAACCGCCACCCCTCACTGATTTTCTGGATCCGCTCCTGAGGCTATCACTAGTTATGGAAGAAAGCAAGTTAAGTTAAATAAAAACCGATTCGCACATTTCTGTATATTGAAACAACAATTATATGATTATTGAAATAAAAAATATCAAAAATTTTTCATTAATAAGGAATTTCACTGATGCAATTATATACTTAGACATCTGATAAGATAAATCGATCTGAATCTATTGATAGATAAATGAGGAGATTGGCTCGGTCACAACGCTTCTAGTGGAGGTAATGTGATCCTATGAACTACAACTCAGCAAACAAATAACAAGTCATCAATGTATATATGTATTAATAACCACAAAAGAATAGAATAAAGAAAAACGAAAAAAAGGCATCAGCCTGGAAACCTGAAGGTGAAACAGAAGGAGTCCTTTGACAGCTTTAGAAGCTTATGGAAAATCTAGAGAAGTTTTAAGAAATCCAAAAGAATTTCATGGAATCCTAGGGAATCCTGGAAAATCCTATGGAACCCTCTGGAATCCTAGAGAATCCTTGGAATCCGAAAGAATCATAGGAAACCTTTGGAATCCAAAGGAATTCAGGATTCCGGGATTCCGATTATTCCCCCTTGAATCCAAGGCTTCCCCGAGTTGAACCCTTTGGAATCCTTCGAATCTGATAAAATTCGCCATGGTCTTCATTATTCTTAAAATCACACTGCGTTTCAAGTCTTGGAATCCTTGGTACATTCTCAAAAGCATATAGGCTCCTGGCAGGGTGCACTGGTTTTCTGGAAATCCAAGGCTTCCCGAAGTCGAATCATTTGGAATCTTTGGAATCCGATAGAATTCGCCATGGTCTTCATTATTGTGAAGACAACACTGCGTTTCAACTCTTGGAATTCTTGGTACATTCTCAAAAGCATATAGGCTCATAGAAAGTTGATCTAGTTTTCTAGGAAGCCAAGGCTTCCCCAAGTTGAATCCTTTGGAATCTTTGGAATCTGATAGAATTGGCCATGTTTTTTATTATTCTAAAGACAATACTGAGTTTCAAGTCTTGGAATCCTTGGTATATCTGTAAAAGCATATAGGCTCATAGAAGGGTGCTCTGGTTTTCTGGGAATCCAAGGTTTCCTGAAGTCGAATCATTCGGAATCTTTGGAATCTGATAGATTTCGCCATGGTCTTCATTATGGTGAAGACCACACTGCGTTTCGGGTCTTGGAATCCTTGGGTGCTTGAAAAAATTTCAAGGTTTCCTTTTGGAGGGAAGATGGCCAGGTCTTCGTCGTGATTTCCTTTTCTGTTTTATATGATTTCAAGGTTTCCGTAGTTTTTCTGCATATATTTATGTATGTTGATATTTTTTTGAATATGATATTTATTAGGTCTTAATGAAAGGATTCCAACTGGTTACAATTAAGCGAAATTAATTAATTAATTAATTAATTAATTGAAAGTATTTATGATGGTTATTAACCTTTTTTATTTGTTTGAATCGATATTGAATTTTTGTACTCGATGATTTTCGTATTCGACGACATAGAGATTGCCGTGTCGATCGAATGACAAGCTGATGGGCCCATAGAGTTGGTTTGATCGTCCTCCAGCACCGTTTCCACCAAGAATGACACTTCCCTGTGTGGCTCCTTTTGGCCAACGCATGATTCGATCATTCCTCGTATCAGCCACATAGACAGTGCCCAATTGATCGACAACGACTCCTCGAGGATATGATAATTGTGTAAGACCATTTCCTTCTCCTTGACCACCAGCCACGACAATGCCTTGTTTTGCACCTTCCATCCATTTCATCACACGATGATTGTCCCATTCAGACACGTATACTGAATGATCTCGATCGACGAATACGCATTGTGGGATATAGAGTTGATCGAGACGATCTCCATATCCATTGCCACCAGCAACCACTGTTCCTTGAGATTCTCCTCTTCGATATCGTCTCACTTCAGCGTTTCCATAGTCAACGACATAGAGAAATCCATTCTCGTCCATTGTCAAACCCCAACAATTGATGTCGGAGATGATTTTTTCTCCACTTATCCCATTTCGACGAGGCCATCGAACCACTCTTCTATTCGAATAATCGCAGATGATGAGACTATCTCTTTCTTTCTCGACAATCACATCTCTTGGATCATGCAACTGATGATCCCCACGTCCTTGTTCATTTCCACCGGCAACCACTTGGCCACTCGTTGCACCCCATTTCCATTCCACAATACGGTCATTGTGTTTATCAGCGACATAGATTGTTTGATCATCATCAACATACAAACCCCATGGGTAAGAGAGTTGATTGATTTCCTTGCCTTGCTGATTTCCTCCAGCCACAGTGAGACCATTCTGTTGCCATCGAGCATTTAGATGAATGTCAATAGCAGGTGCTCGGAGCGGAATGACTGAAATCATTGAAAATTGAATTAATTCAGAGTTTTTCGTTATAAATTTTTTCTGGAATTATGCGAAGGACCTATTTAGTAGACTAAGTGTCGGAATTTGCATTTCATTTTTTTTTCATTTTGAAAATGATTAAAATGGATGACAATGTTTTCTATCGTGATATCGAAATGATTTAATTGATCGATCTGTATTGAACAAAGTCGAATTTAAGAGACGTAGAAGAGATTATGTTTGTGTTCGTGTCAAAGTGACTGTTGTCAACGAGATTTCATCTATTGTAGACATATATCGTCTATTGATATACATATCTTGATGTTAAGTTCATTCTGCTAGCGTAAGAAACTGTTAATTGGGTAAAGTATGAGTTTTTTTATTCGAATTTTCGATGATTTTGAAGGTCAATATTTAGTTTCAAGACGAAAATTGTCAACTTCTCTTTTCTGCTCTTTATAACGAATAGAAATTGAGAAAGTGCTTATTCTTTATTGAATAGTATACAGGTTACGATTCTCCATTAATTTTTTACCCTGACACTGACGATAAAATCATCAATATATTCTGCAGCAATGAAGAACTTGTTATCATAGCATTCTAATTCAGATACGTTCCAGTTTTAATCTTCTTCGAATTAAAGAAACAGTGATATCTGTTTCTACTTTTAGAACTCGGTATTATTTCATTATCGGACATATTTTCATCTATTCAAACTAATATATATCTCGAAAATTTATTTTAAGGTTTTTTTTGTAATGTCTAGATGGAGAACATTCAGTATCTTTAAATATATACACATTTTTTATTGTACGAACATCTAGAAGTTTTTCTTCAACAATAAAAATTCATTAATTTTTTTGTTTAAATACATTCGACTCAACGAAAATAATTCTCGGCTTTTTCCAAGTGCTGATGAGACTCGACAGAAGATTGTTCAAAAAAAAACTATCATGTGAAATACAGAGCGAATGTAAAGTTGAATGGATGTGTCTTGTCGACTTGTTTTTCTGTCCCTTAAAAGGAATAAACATGAAGAAAGTTCTTGTTCTTCATTGAAAAATACATAGCTAATGATTCGCTATCGATTACCAATTAACATTCTGATGAAAAAGTCATCAGAACAATCTGTTGGAATGAAGTGGTTTTTATCGTAGTGTTCTAAACAATATTCATTTTCTTTTTATCTTTTTTAAATTAAAAAATATTGATATCTCTACTTCTCTATAATCGATATCATTCGAGTATCGATAATACTTCGATATGTTCAAATCAATATAGTTAGTTACTAGAGATGTTTTAAAGGTATCATTTTTCATTGCGATGTCGAGGTGGAGAGTATTCATACTCCTTGTACATATATATGTTTTTATCGGACAGAGCTTTAGAATTTATTCTTGAATGATGAAAACTGAATTATTTTTTGTTATATGCATTTAACTCAAAGGGAAACTATTTTCCACTTTTTCCAACTATTTTTATAGGAATGTAAACAACATTATTCGAAAAATCTGTTATGTGAAATACCGAACGAATGTAAAGTTGTATGTGTGTAGCTTACCGAACTGTTTTTTTGTGTTCCTTAAAAGGAATAAAAACAAAGAAATTTCTTATTCTTTATGGAAAACTAAAGAAGTTATGATTTGCTATCTATTGCTTACCAATATTGTGACGAGAAAATCATCAAAACAATCTGCCGCAAAGAAGTTATTTTTGTCTTTTTATTTCTAGCGATATACATTCCGTTTTCATCTTCTTCCAATTAAAAAAATATTTAAATATCTGCTTCTTCATATTCGATATCATTCGATTGTCGAACATACTTCGATACATTCAAATCAATATAGCTAGTTTTTACAAATTTATTTTAAGATTTTATTTTTTTATTGCGATGTTCAGATTGAGAATATTCATTTTCGTTGTATAGATTGTTTTTTCGTTATATAGAGTTCTTCCCGACTTTATCGATATAGATAGTTATTTAATTGCTACTAATTTGGCATATTACTAGAAGAAGAATCGATCTCTACTTCTTTTAATTAGTTCTGATGATTTTTGACTGAAAACTATTAATGTCGTCTACTTGTCTCTATGTATTATGAGTGTTTGTTTATGACTAAAAAGAAATATTGCGCTCATATTATGCTTTTCCTCTTCCATGAATCTATAAATAGAAAGATTAGAAAATCCATCTATGTTCCTCTAGATTGAGAATATAAATAACAAATATCTCTACACAGTTATACATATATTTGTTTTTTTCTTGTCTTCTACAAAGAAAAAAAATCATTCTTTTAAAAACTTCTAACTTTTTAGAATCACATTTTGAATAAAGCTTACTGTAAAGACAAAGCCTCGAGTTGATGACTTTCAGATTTCAATCAAAACTATTTGGAATTTTCAAGACAAATGTGTAGTTCGATTCGAAATATCGTCAGATTAGATGGTGAAACTGTATGAATGAAAAAAGTTTCATTGAAGATATTTCTGAATGAGATCCATTGAGTGAATCATTAGTGATGCTTTCGATAGAAAAATTTTTTTTTTCTGAAAAATTTTAAACAATTCATGAGCGATTCAGTTGTTGGTTACAATACCAAATCTGGAGTTAGTTTTAGTATGATGAGTAGATATATATTAGACGATGAGAGTCTATTGTAAATGGCTAGTCTGGCCTATTTCATGAATAAAAATAAATAATTAGAATTCAACATAATACAATACTAGATCTGAAGGTGAAATTTTTAAAAACGAATATAATTTCCATAGATAGATGTCGACAAGACTCGATCACCTTACCAAACGTCGTTCATTTTTCAAAAATTCTTCGATAGGATTTTCATGTTGTTCCTAATAAACATTTAAATACTACTGTAGAATGTCTCATCGTTCCTCCATAGAATAGTTTAGCTGAATTGAACATTAAACAAAAATATCATATGAATAATTTTGTAAAAGATGTGGAATTTCATTCTTAAAATTATCCAAGCTGTTTTTATTTGGTGCGTATTAATTATTGAATTTTTTCAAAGAAAATGAAAAGAAAAACTAGCGAATTTTGCAATGTAGAATGTTTATAAAAAATTTGATTTATCTTATATTGACATATAAGAAGTACCAATCAAATGATTTTTCGACATAAATAGATTTTTATTTCAATGTGATTGACTATTGATACAATGCATGATATCTCAAGAGAGAATAAACATAATTGAGAATGATATGAATAACACAATCTAGAAATAGGATCGGAATAGGGTGTGTGGGTGGATGGGTGTGAGTGTAGGTATAGATCTTTCCTATACTCACACTCACACCCATACCCACATCAACATCCATACTCTCTTTGAGAAATCATTTTTAATCTATCATGTTTGATTTCATGAACGAATAATGTTCTATATATTCGTTTATATAGCGTCTTGTTCCTATTTTTCTAAATGTATGCAAGTGTTATTTGTTCAATTCTATGGAAACGATCGAAACTAAAATATGACTTGACATAAAACATTGTATTCGAGCCATGTAATTAAGTATGGATAGTCCATTTTATAAATGATGTTTATATACTGGTTTTTATTTTCTCATCTTACGTTGGAAAAAATGAAAAGAATAATCTTGTTAACTATAAGAGAAAACTCTAATTTCATTAATAGATACGTCAATATAAATTATAAACACAAACGTTAACAAAAGTATGTGATTGAAAGTCAGAAAAAAATTGCATTTTAAGATTACATAAGAAAATATTTTCTATTCTTTATCATTATTAGAAGTTCGAGAAGATTTTTCTAATTTACAAATTTTTTAATCATATTATTACAGAAAAGACTAAGAACAAAGGAGCATAAACATAACTTTAAACTTATTATCTACGATTATTCTTTATGGATTCGTTTTGTTTAGAAAGAAAGAAATGCTTTCGTGCTACATATTGAAAAAGTTCTCTTTCGACGAAATCTCAATACTGAATGTAAACGAGAGATATTTTTGCTTGTCTGTAAACACCTTGACTTTTTCACAAGTCATAACTCACAACATATTAATTTATGTTCTCATTAAACTCATTGAAACATCTTCACGTGATCTGACGGTTTTCTGAGAAATACACGAATATTTTGCTCTGAATAATACAGTATGTTTTCACATGTTTAAAATTCCAATGGTTGCGAAAATATTGACTTCGGCTCAGATAATATGTAGCGTGACATACCACTTAGTGCGTATTCCAAAAATGTACCATAAATAATAAAAATTCTGATAGCATCACACCAGTTACCCATCACATTGGCATCACTGGTAGGTCCATCAAATTTGATGAAAACGTCTAGTTTTTGCATATCATCGTGTAAACGTAAACGACCCTCTTTATCACTCGAATCTACAAAAGATAGATACAGTAGCATCACAGCAGGTCAACTGCAACTCACCTAATGTTTGTCGAGCAGAAATCTGGTTGAATGTGTTGATTGTCCGAAATTCGATTGATTTATAGTTGCTCATATTGAGTCTTAATACAGCATAAGAGTAAGGCCATGATGTTGGATTCCACTTGTCTGATAAAGTGATTTGCTGCAATAAATTTATTTTAATTTATGGAGAAAGGTTATTTTTATGCTATTAACTAACTATTTCTAACGTTGGCTATTCTCAATCGTTAACAAATCCCAACTCCTGTTTAGAGAGATCAATTTAAAATTACTTGACGAAACGGCTGATAACTTGTGATCGATTCAAGTGCCTGAAGATCTATAACTCGACAGATTACAAGTTATCCGTATGGTGTAAATGAATTTGTCATCAGATGAATAATACGATGCCATCAACGATCATGCACTGTATTAAGAAACCAAAATTGTATGCATTAGCAGTTACTAAAACAATTGGGAACGGAATAATCTATTACTAATAGCTTTTCATTCTTGGAGTTATAGTAACAAATGATTTTAAGATTAAGTAGTAGTCTTGGCTATTTTCATTATATATTACCTTGATAAAACTCCCATTTCGTTCTATCC